ATATTAAGAACAGTATGCCATATATGCCAGGTCCCTTGAAACATACGCTGTGCAGATGTTTCTTCCCTGCAGTGACTGTGTCAAGCAGCAAGGATGGACCGGCTTCCGGCATTGAACTTTTAATTTTATGTGTTTTAGTAATATGTATATAGGCGTACATATATATTTAAAAAGTTAAAGCCAATACTGACCATTGTTACATGAGTGTGTGTCAGTCAGGGTTCAACTGGAGAAATAGAACCAGAATGTATTTATGGCAAGGCATCAGCTTGTATAATTTTTGTGGATGGCAACACATACACACACACACACAGAGCATGTCCCCAGAAAGAGCAGGCTGGAACTCTAGGGTACATGCTGGAGCTGCTGTCCTTGGGCCTAATATTTCTTCCTCAGGGAAACTCAATTCTGCTCTTATGGACTTTGAACCAATTTAATCAAGCCACCGTGGTTATCTAGAATAATCTCCCTTCTTACAGTGAACTGATTATGAACTTTAGTATGCTAGGGAAGGGAAGGTCACCCTGGGGGTGAGGTCCCACCCTACAATTGTCCTTTGCTAGGCACTTTGGGCTCTTCACCCTGGTGACCTTCTGTCCATGGGTCATGGTCCTTGCTCTGCTCATGTCTGTCTAACTGCCTACCACAGGTGTCTGTCTGTATGTGTATATGTATTGTGTGGTAATTTCTACCTCTGAACAACCATGTAACTTTGTAAAGAGCTCTTTAAGTTGGATTTAACAAGTGCATATATTAGAATTTTTAAAAATATAACAGAGCCCTGGCCGGGCAGTCCAGTTGGCTAGAGCATTGTTTCAATGTGCCAAGGTTGTGGGTTTGATCCCCAGTCAGGGCACATACCAAAATCAGCCAATGAATGCATAAATAAAGGGAATAACAAATCAATGTTTTCCTTTCTCTTTCTCTTCCTTCCTCTCTCTTAAAAACAAATCAATAAATAATGCTTTCAGAGTCGTGTAACTTGGGGAAATGATATTAAAGCTAGCTTAAGTTTGGTTTAATTAAAGAGGAGTGTCTTTAGAGTCATCAGCATTAAATAATACTTTTATTTTACCTTGGTTTATTAGTCAAATAAGTTCGTGTTATCTCTGTTGCAAACTTTGTCAGAAATAAAGATAATTTGGTATGATAAAATTTTTATAAGTAATCTAAACATAATTTTTAAGAGCAAGTAAATTAAGTATATGTAAGTAGGATAAAAAGTTTCTTTGTAAGTGAACTCTTTAGCAATAGTTGTATTTAATTTAAAAATGTTTTTTAAATCTCTTTAGTAACTTAAAACTTTAAAGTTTTGCTAGCCAAATTAAATGATGGGTAGTCATTAGATATCAAAATCATTTCCAAATAAGATAAAATAATGAAACATTAATACCTGAACATAGTTTTATCTACTTTTTGCTTGTTATTATAGAAGAACCAAAGATAATTTTGAGTCTATTATAAACATGTTTTGTGCCATATTTTAAAAAATGTGCTATGAAGAAATATCTATTTCTAGAAATTATGAAATGTGTTCATAAATTTGTCAATATAAAGAATACTGGTGTAACAGACACTTCACATTGCTTACTTCTTAGTCTTCATTAGAAATGAAGGTTTTGAAGGTAAAGAATTCTAATACATGCAATTGAAGCTATAAAACTTAATAAAATAGGGAAAACAATTGTGCAACTTAAAAATATGATATGTTTGGCTTTTTTGAATGTGAAAGATAATATGATCATATTGAGCAACTAGAGGCCCGGTGCACAAATGCATGCACAGGTGGGGGTCCCTCAGCCTGGCTGGCGATCAAGGCCTATGGAGGGCCAGCAGACCGGTAGGAGAGGCTGCAGGAGGTTGGCTATAGAAGCGCACTGACCACCAGGGGCCAGCTCCTGCATTGAGCATTTGCCCCCTGGTGGTCAGTGTGCATCATAGCGACTGATCGACTGTTCGTTCTGGTCGTTCGGTCATAAGGGATGCTTAGGCTTTTATTATATAGATGTCACCCCAATAAAAACAAATGAAAATGAAGTAATAATATTGTCCAGATTATTTCTTTTTTGAAAAAAAAACACAAATATATACTTGGTTTACCAAAGCTATGCACATTTTATAAAGTAATAATAAAGTAAGAGCTTATAAAAAACGGGAACATTTTAGGTGGGAGCATGCAACTGAGATAGTCTCGTTCTCTGGCAGAGTTCTTCCAAAATGTCATGCCACTGAGAAGTGACCCTTTTCTGCGGCTTTTCCTCAGTTCTGCTTCATAGGCGCGGGGATGTTGGCAGACGCCTGCTCAAGGTAGGCCAGGGAGCCCTGCGGGATGTCGGCGGGCTTCTTGTGCTGCCCGTTGATGTCCTCCAGCACCTGCTGCCAATGCCGCAGCTTGGTCAGGTGCTTCTGGACCAGGGCGTCTTTCCGCTGCAGCTCCTTTCGCAGTTCTGAGACATCCTCTTTGATAACCTGCTCTGGCTTCTGGACAGATAACTGCAATCTTTTTTGTAGAAAAAAACATTCTGTTTGTCTTGCAATGTCCAGAAATTTCTGGATACACTGATCAACACCTTAAAAACACACACAAAATATTAAATTAAAAAAAATATTCGACACAAAAATCTCCCTCATACATGAACAGTCAGAATATCAAAACATCAACCAAGGTACTCGGAGAAGATCTGGGAGCACCTGGCATGACCTGAAGAAGCGAGGCCTGGCCCGGGAGGCCCGGCGGCGGGGGCGGTGCACCAAGTGACTGCCCGGAGAACATACCTCCCAGCGGAGCCGCCATTTATGAAAATCCAAGTTCTGTGTTTTATTGTCTTGTTACATCTGTATTTATACCAGTTGATTTTAATCCTGTCAATTTCTATTCCAAAGGTTAGGGCGTTTCTTATCTCCATTCCAGGGAGTAAAGATTATGTAGCTTAAGGGTGATTGTTCGTAGTTAAAGCAGATGTTTCTTCCCTGCAGCGACTGTGTCAAGCAGCCAGGGTGGACCAGCTTCCGGCATACTATGACAGATAGGACAGGCTGCTGCAAGCCTTTGGCCATCATATCCAGGTGTTTTTCTTAGTTATTCATCATCCATCTCTATAGCTATACAATATTCATCCAGATTAGATCCATATACAATTCTACCAGTGGAATAATCAGGGAGGTATTTGCCTAAGGTGGATTCCTTTATAATAGATATAGTCAGAAAAAAAATGTACCAAAGCTTATATTGATAGTAGGAGAAGACCAATATGTGGCTAACAAAGCATTAATTTCACTATCATACCTGATAGTCAGAACATCATTGTGCAGTAGGTGGGAAAGATGAGCAGGTATCCAAGTTAAATTTTTCATATCTAATAAGGGAGGTCTGGGGAGGCAGATATTGTTTCCACTAGAAAATCATAAAAATAATAATATGAAAAACATTTCATGTACATTCAATCAATAACAACCAGATGATATAAAAACAAGGTTCAAGCAATATCAGTTTGTGAGCATACAGGCCTTTTTGACAGCGGGATAGCTGTCTGCCTCCATGGTCAGCGACTTCTCATCCTAGAAAGGTCTCAGCTGTTTCTCGTCCTTGAAAAGTCTTTGATTTCCACTGCAGATGGAGATGGGTGTCAGAGATGGGAGTAGATGTCCATTTACATTCAGGTGCCTTTTTTTAAATGAGAAATGTGAATCCATGAGCTAACTCCTTTAAGTTTAGCTGCACATGGGTTAGTTAGTAATACCTGGTAAGGTTCCCTCCAACAAGATTGGAGAGAGTCTTTTATTTTGGTGTCTCTTCCTATACACCAAATCTCCTGGTTGTAAGCCATGATCTTTGAAATCTTCGTCTCCCGGGAGCGCACTGTGAAATGAATCTGTTAACAATTTGTTAGTTCCTACAATGCAGAATGTCTGCTCTTTACTTTTCCTTATATTTGGGAAACAAAAGATTTAAAAGTCAACAATATTTTAAACAGTCACAAGAATAATTATCCTCAATTCATTTACTCCCATAGTTATTTTTGTTTATCCTGATTATTTGCCAGTAGTTTTGGAATTCAGTTATTCCTTGAAGTTCTATAAATCATCACCCAGTTCAAAAATATGACCTGCTTACAAGCCTGCAATTTAGGTTAAGTCAGAGTCCTTTTCATGGATTTTTCTAAACATATAATATACCTACAAATGCATCAGAATAAAGCTGTCCACGAATGACAAAATTTAAAAGTGGCATGGTTATAGATTTGCTAAAAACTTTGCTTTTCTATAAAATATAACATTCCAAGACAACAATTTCTTGGTAAGTAATAACCCCTGTAAAATAACATAGAGAATATAAAATTTGTATAGCTTTAGATTCAATTATAATTTTAGCATATAAAGAATAAATAATATGTAAGATTTTAAAATGAGGCACATGGCTTATTGCAAGGAATGTATTCAGCATTGAAAATAATTCATAAACTCCCAATCTGTGAAAAGCAAATACCTAGAGAGTTTCCTGTTTGAACTTCTGTCCAGATTATTTCTGAGTAGGTAAGAGAACAAGAGACAAACTTTAAAAAAAACACTGAAGTTCATATAAATGCTATGAAAAAGGAATCCTGAGAAATAAAATCTATTTGTGGTCAAGTTGAATATGATTGAAATTGATTTAATCAAGTAGGTGAATTTACTATCAAAAGTAAGCTGATGCAAATTTAGAGTTCTGTTCTGTCTCTCTTTCTCTCTGATAAAAGGACAGTTTTCATGGACTACTAGTCTGCTACTGATAAGTACTGTGAAAAAGTTTTCTAAATGAAAAGCCAAGATTCTGTGTTTTATCAAAATAATTTTCCGTTTCATGTTGTCTTAATTAGGTTCTTGATTATTTAAGAAAACTCAGTCGCCTCATTAGTAAGAACTAAGTTTTGCTGACAATTACATAAACTTCTGTATCTGTTTTTGAAATCTATTATTGTTACTTTTGTTAAATGGGTTTCATAATGATTTATGATCCAATTTAGTCAAATGTCCAAACCTCATATATTTTGACAAACTTCCCAAAATTCAAATTATGAATAAAGTCTTGACCTGGGAATAACTTTGAGGTATTCCACAAGGCCCCTGGAACACCACAAAAGATGTGTTTTCACTCCTTGCAAAAGAGAAATTTTAAACTAAATAAGCATCTGTGGTATATTAAATTACATGGAAAACATTGCAAAATAAGTGATGAGAAACTTCTAGGGGACACTGTATGGGTAAACAATGGTTGTAAATTAAATAAATAGTTTTGGCTACTGGTATAGAAAACCTAAGACAGCTGCTTGATTTTTCCAGATTTTGTGGTAAAAACCCCTCTTCCCCCAGTTTTTGCATTCCTTCATCTGCCATTGCACATTTAAGCTGGATTTCATTTAATTGCCACTAAGTATGGGTTATCAATATGTTTTTGTTGTCATATGTATTTTTTTTCTGAGTGGGTTAAAGCATTCCCTTTCCACAGGGTTGAGGCCTAACAGTGGCTAAGGAACTGTCTGAAAATGTGTTTTCTGCTTAGTGTACACCTTCTACAATCTCTAGTAACCAAGGTACACACTTCACTGAGCAAATTATGCACACCTTGACAGACAACCTTATAAATTTCTTAGAATTATAACTGACCCTATCACCTGCAATTGTCAGGCTAAGTTGAGAGAACTGATGAAAAAACTGAATATAAGAGGACAAGTTCTAACTGCACAGGACTGAATGAACTGAGAAGAATATTACAATTTTTGTGACTTTTGTTTAAAATATTGATGGTTCTTTAATTTTATAATTTTCCCAATACTATAAGAAAAAGTTTTTCTTAAGTTAGCCACGACCTAGAGGAATTTGGTAAATTACACTTTTGTAAGCATAATTGAAACAGTTTAAGTATAAAGTAAGATTGTTTGAGATTTTTCTTGTTTCTTGAGGTAGGCCTGTAATGCTATGAATTTTCCTCTTGAGACTGCTTTCGTTATATCCCATAGATTTTGAGTGGTGTTCTCATTTTCATTTGTCCAATGTATCTTTTGATTTTTTCCTTGGTCTCATTGTTAACCCATTCATTGTTTACTAACATGTTATTTAGCCTCTATGTCTTTGGGTGATTTTTAGTTTTGTTCTTAGGATTGATTTCTACTTTCATACTGTTATGGTCAGAGAAGATGCTTTATGTGAGTTTAATCATCTTAAATATATTGAGACTTGTTTTGTATCCTATAAATTTTATGTGCACTTGAAGAGAATGCAAATTCTGCTGCTTCTGGGTGAAATGCTCAGAACATACATCTGATCTAGTATGGCATTTCATGTCACCATTTCCTTGTTGATTTTCCATCTGAAACATCTATCCATTGATGTCCATGGGGTGCTAAAATATCCTGCTATCACTGCATTACTGTCAATCTATCCCTTTATATCAAGATTTTCTTTACATGTTTAGTCAAGTTTGGAAAATTTGTTCTTTGTCTTTTAAAATTGGGTTTTCCTCTGTTGATGGTAGGTCTTTTCATAAAAACTAGCTTTGTGGTGTGGCAGTAGGAAGGGAAGGAAGTAGAGACAGGGAGGGAAGAAAGTGCAGCAGGGAAGGAAAAGGGGCGGGAAGGGGGGAGTTGTTCTAAATTAATACAGAAAAAGAAAGGAAGAGAACAGCAGCAAAAATTCTGAGTAGCCCAGTTGGCGTGGTTCAGAGGTTGAGCATTAGCCTATGAACCAGGAGGTCATGGTTTGATTCCTGGTCAGGGCACATGCCCAGGTTGCAGGTTCGATCCCCAGTAGGGGGCATGTAGGAGGCAGCCGATCAATGATTCTCCCCCATCATTGAGGGGTCTATCTCTCTCTCTCTCTCTCCCTTCCTCTCTGAAATCAATAAAAATATATTTTAAAATATTCTGAGTAAATAAGAGTTGCCCTCCTCATTGTGGCAGATCCTGCCTGTGATCCAGAGCCTGAGACCCTCCAGAGACTTTTCTGGAATAGGCACCGTGTGCAACCAAAGGCCGACTTATAAACATACAATTTAAACAACAGGGATGAATCTCAACAACTTTAAGCTGAGTGAGAAGAGGCACACAGAGAAATCTACATATGAACTTCTGAAATACTAAAAACTAATCTGTAGCAGAAAAAAATTAGCACAGTGGTTGTCTCTGGAGGTGAGAGCCCAGATTGACTGGGAAAGGGAATAGGGAACTTTCTGGGGTGATAGGCATGTTGTCTCTGATAACATGGATTGCACAGAGGTATGCATTTGTCAGAATTAAGTAAGTGTACACCTTCACTGTATGTAAGTTTACAACAAGTGAAAAAGCTGTAAGTAATTTTTAAACTCTAGCTAATGCTACTCATGCTTACTAGTAAGTATATAGGGGTGAAGTATACTAATGTCTTTACCTTGCTTTGAAATGCATTAAAAAAAAGAAGGTAGACAGAAGGATTTATGTGATGAAGTCAGAAAAGTAAAATATTAATGGTAGAATCCAGGTGGTGGGTATACAGATGTTTGCTATAAAATTATCCTAACTTTTCACATTTGAAAAATTTTATAATAAAGTGTCAGGGGAAATGCATCCCATTTCCCCACCCCCCAGCTCCCCTGTGCTCTTCCTCCCTGTCTGCTTCTCTCTTTGCCATTTCCCTTTTCTGTTTTCCTCCATCTCGCCAGGCCCTGTGCTTCTACTTGGCAGCAGTAGGAGTATTCTGACCATGTTCCAGGAAGAGCAAAGAGCACTGGCCGGACTGTTAAAGAAATGTTATCCTGATGCTTGTTAAAATGGGAAGGGAGAC